AAAACCGTTATTGGTCCTGTCTTGATTTGGAACAGTTATACCTGGACATTATACCTGCCCTCATATGAATTGCTTTCCCCACCCATGTACCGATGGTGCTCTTCTGATCCAGGAATAAGCTGAAGAAAATGTGCTTGAGCATATAAGAAAAAGAGCATGACTATGTTCTTGATAGATGGCTGTCCCCTATGTGGTGGACCTGCAATGATACGCTAAGCACAGTTAAAGTCATAAGGGATCAGGGTCGAAAGCCACAGAGCCAAATCAATGCACCGAAGACTGCCCTAACCATGAGGGCAGAATTTTATTGCATAATTAAAAACTGTGAATGGGAAATGGATTCACTTTTAGGTTGTTTGGAAACATTGTTGTGTTAATTGGAAAACCTTTCTGCCACACAGTGGATGTTAACTCTGTATAGTCCCCAACAAAGCAGAGGCTTTGACCTTATCTTGCAAAGGTAAAGATAATGGGTTCAAGAATTGGAATCGAACCACTGGGCTCTTCTAGTTCAGAGGTAAATGTTCTATCATTTGATCCACGCATCCCTTATATCTCTCAATTGTGAAAATCGTCTGTAAATAATAAATGTTCCTTTACTGACCCTTTGTGCCCATTCAGCAATGGAATCGCTTTGGTCGACAAACTTTAAATGTAACAAAAGCAACACACAAAACTGATAGCAAAACAGCTCTTTACTGTGGTGTATGCAGTAATAAAACAACATGATAAACATTCTATAACATTTATTTAACTTTAGACATGGGTGACTTCACAAATCATGAATGCATCTTAATACCATTGATGATGAGCTTTAGGGACTCAGGACAATTACTCTGTCATCAGCTTTAATCTCTTCGGCCTAAGCACGGCTTTAATGCCTGCCTTTTTACTTTCCCTCACACAAGCAAATATATACACACACTCTCCAATTAGCCAAACTGCACAATCGCTCCTCCGGATTGTAACATTTATCGAACGTGCTTTGCTAATGATCATGGCAGTGGCTTTCTGTACAAGTGTGTGTTCTTGATCTCAGGGTTCCTCAATGTGTGAACTTATTTTTGTGCGTCTGCATGATATGATATGTCTTCACACATAGCTTAAGCAGATACTCAAGCGTTTCCAGACCTTCAGCCAAATGACAGTTAGATCATTAGGCTTCAGCAGCAGGCAGTATGCTAATTTAGCCCGAAGCCTGCTAGACACCTTTTGCTTTGAGTGACCTTCACACCTCACATATCATGTGTGGGTCTTACTTGGGTTGCTTCTGAATTTTGCAATAAAGTCGGGAGGAAAGAAGCAAATATGGTTTATCATTCTTTCTTATGTTTCATTGTATTACAGTCTGGCATATAATATATCAAATTTGCTGATGTTGTTGTGTGCGTGTGTGCGTGCATGTGCGTGCGCGCTACATTAGCATTTCATGAGAGAACAGATTTGAATATTAGTGAAGAAAACCTCTGTCTCGTTACATTGTTCTCTCTTTATCAAAGTTAGATGTTCTAAGCTCTTTTATGTATACATACAGTACAGACCAAAAGTTTGGACACACCTTCTCATTCAAAGAGTTTTTTTATTTTCATGATTATGAAAATTGTACATTCACACTGAAGGCATCAAAACTATGAATTCATGTGGAATTATGTGCGTACAGAAAAAAAAAAGTATGAAACTGAAAATGTTTTATATTCTCGGTTCTTCAAAGTAGCACCTTTTGCTCTGATTACTGCTTCGCAGACTCTTGGCATTCTCTTGTTGAGCTTCAAGAGGTAGTGACCTGAAATGATCTTCCAACAGTTTTGAAGGAGTTCCCAGAGATGCTTAGCACTTGTTGGTCCTTTCGCCTTCACTCTGTGGTCCAGCTCAATTAAAACCATCTGGATTGGGTTCAGGTCCGGTGACTGTGGAGGCCAGGTCATCTGGCCCAGCACCATCACTCTCCTTATTGGTCAAATAGCCCTTACAGAGCCTGGGTGTGAATCTACAGTCAATAGTCATGAGAAGAAAGGAAACGCATTGAATGAGAAAGTGTGTCCAAACTTTTGGTCTGTACTGTATGCAGGGCTTAAAGTTTTCCGGCACCGTGCCGGAAATCCGGCGTGAGGAAAAAAAAAAAAAAAAACATCACTTTTTTTTTTTTGTTTTTTTTTTTTTTTTAATATATATATAAATAAATAATGATTGCTGTCATTTGAAAAAAGGTTCAAGTGTGTTCTACCAATTGTATGAAAGGATTGCATGTGTATAGCGCAGGGATTAAAGAGTTCCGTCTAAGTGACGGATTTCCGTCAAATGAAATTGGTCTGAAAAAGAAACAAAATATATAATAATAATATAATACACACAATGAAATGGTTAATTATAACAAAATATATAGTAATACGTGTGAATCTGTTGTATATATCTAGATATATATTAATAATTTGAATATAATTGTATTTATATGTATATAGAAATAAAAAGTAACGAGTGGGCCTTGAACGTGCCGTGGCTAGCTACATGAGCGCTCCGTAAATGATTCAAGGCAATGGGACGTAGCCAAGTTAGCGATGGTAACACGGAGGTGAAAGTTTCTGAAAAGTGCACGGAGCTTTTGAAAAGGAGAAGAGGACAAGGAAAATGTAATCCCGAACGGAGCAATAACAGCCAGCAGCCCGCGGACCGGTAAACTGGGCGCGTTATCAGAGGAAAGGTAGGACATAATTAACGTTTACCAAACGCAATGCTTTTTTATTTAACGGAATGTACAATATGTACTTTGCTGTGACTGGGAATGGGGACAAGCATGTCTTGGTGAGCTTTTTGATAATATCTTGGTGGCAATCCCCATGCAAAACTGCGTGATAAAAAGAGCCAATCAACGAGAGCGAACGGAAGAAACTCGCTGAAGAAAGGTGTGTGTTAGCAGGTCTTATATTCATTCATCAAAGCTAGCCTAGCATGCACGCACAATCACAATCATGGATAATAATGATAATAATAATAATGCATCGGTTTTATATAGCGCTTTTTTGGACACTCAAAGACGCTTCACATGTGTCATTATTCATTCACTCCATACACGGTGGTGATAAACTACTACTGTAGCCACAGCTGCCCTGGGGCACACTGACAGAAGCGAGGCAACCAGTATGTGCCATCGGCCCCTCCGATCACCACCAACCATTCACACACACACACCAGACTCATTCTAGGCAATGGGGGTGAAGTGTCTTGCCTAAGGACACAACGGCAGTTTGGCACTTTACAGCCGCAGCCGCCCCACTCGTTGTTTATGGAAGAAGGAGCTGTATAAGTTGCTGTTGATAACGGAGTGAAAAATAAATGGAGGTGGGCATGGCTGGATGAGGTGGAGACGATGGGATTCTGTTGCTTCATGGTGCAAAAAGATAAAGGTGTCCGGTGCTTGTTCGTACTTCGCTATTATTATTTTTTTATATGGGAGTAATGAGAAAACAGCTTTGGATTCACCACCAGCTCAAAACTGCGCACTTGGCAGCTGTCCGTGCACTTTCCCACACTTCTTTACCTGGTGCATCAGATTCAGCGACAACTGAGACTAGGCTTGCTCTGGTGGACTGTGTCTGTGACCTAAAACTATCTGTGGCTTTATCGCAGAAAATAACCTGTCGTTCAGAACCATCACTACCGCTGGTAGATTTAATTATCATTAATCATTTGCAGTTGATAAAACTGCGCTGTGCACTAGCACCAAGTTGATAGGGAAACCTTTTTCTTAAACATTGAGAGTCCACAAACAAATGTGGACAGAATTTTGAATGTCCTTTTGCGATATTTTGACGAGGACAGAGCCAAAGGACAACGCCTCATCTCGCCTCAAGTAAAGCCAATGATGCAGATGAACTACTCTCACTAATATTTTGTCAAAGAGTTGACAAGTTGCTTGATCCACTGGTTGTAATTTCACATCAAAATACACCAGTTTAAATGTATATCTTTGAAGAATTCGTTTGATCTGTAATTCATTATATTTCCATGAGAAAATTTTCAGTCAAATCTTTTTTTTTTGCTTTAACCCCTGTGTATGTATAAGCACTTCAAATTCAGACGAAAGATCACCCCTCCGCTGTGTAACTTGGGTTATTTCAAAAGTCTTCAAAACTTTAATGTTACACAGTGATCTTATTAAAGCTTGATATACGGCTCCTCACAGCAGCAGTAGACGCTCCATTGATTTGAATGTAATTTCAAAACGTTTTACCGGTCATTATTTTCTATAACGGACCTCTCAAAACAATAATGACCGCTGTCCATGGCAACGCGCACTCTGCCTGTATTTCAGATGCGTGGATAACTCCGCAAGTAGTTCCGGCCACTCCGGAGCTAGCCACGCTCAATAAACGCAAATGCCAATCAATCAACTCAATGAAATGTTAATCAGAGAATACATTATACATATACAGTCTTAATACAAGTGCACAAAGATTTCAGAATTTTCCGTTTACGTTTTCATGACAAAAACACTGATGTAATGCAAGAAAAGACGATCCCGAAAAACCCGGAAGTAGATACCGGCACATTTTAAGATACCGGCACATTTTCGGACACATTTGCAGAGGATCGAATTATGGATTTAGGTTAGGTTTATGTATGGGTCACTCACCGCTGATGTTTAGAATTCTTTGTTCAGTTTTCATGCAGTTCCAGTAGTTTGGAAGTTGCTAGTCTAACTGTTGCTAGTATAGCCATGGGAAATCCTTCGGGAACTATTTTATTTTCTGTCATTAAATAAACCTTCTGGCATTCCTAAAAGTCCGCTTCGCTCTGTCGGTACTTATTTTCCGATAATGACCTTCGTAATATACGTCATCCCTTACATATTTACCACTTGAGTAGGTGATACGTAATGCTTGGTAAGGAAATATAAGGAATGAATTTTGCTTAGGCTCATCTTGATAGTGGACATACTTTGTAATATTCTTTCTACCTGCAAGATGAAAAACTAATCCACTTCTGACTTGTCTTCTCTCCAGAGGGGGTGTGTGAGATTTGGCTGACCAGTGAAGACACGGGGGCGTATGGCAGAGACATTGGCACAGATCTGCCCACTCTTCTCTGGAGACTGGTGGAGGAGATCCCCGAAGGAGCCATGCTGCGACTGGGCATGACCAACCCTCCGTACATATTGGAACACTTGGAGGTATGCCACTATACAAAGTGCTCTCTTATTTGACCCAAAGGCACTATTCTGTACAAAATATGTTTTATTTATTTACTGCTTTTGTCCCCCAAGCCACATGCATTGCCTTTGATGTGAACTAATAAGATCACTTAGTCGATTTAATAAACTGAATGTCGTTCTGTTTCGCTTGCGAAGCACTTTAGTTGTGGCTTGCCATTCATTAGCACAGTTCAGTCTCTTCTTTTCCTAATGAGTCAATTAAGGACCATTGTGTCCTCTTTAGCAGCCCCATTTTATCAGTCATTATTGTCTTCCCTAATGGAACAATGGACATAGTTATCCACTCTATTTCTCCCTCAACTTCTTCACTCTGTGTTTATGATAGGCCAAGGTTCTTTGTAAATGCACATTATCTTCCATGGAATTTTTTATAAGATGCCAGCCCACTGATTAGCCAATAGCATACAAAGAAAAACAAAAGTGACCTCTAAAAATTTGATTAATTTGTTTTTTGCCTTGCTTATGGACGTAGATAATAGTTAAGTTATTTCTTGGTCCTCAATTAGAAATGATAGTGAGACAATTTAATTTGTCATTTTAAAAGGTGAAATAAAATGTTCAGTTAAAACGATGTCAGATGTCAAATATGATTTGTGCATGTTGATTTTGCTGGTGACATAAAAGGAGTATAAAGAAAAACATTGCAAATAGTACCTTTTTAAATAACATTTCTAACATAGAATTTAGTGAATTTAGTGATATTTTTCATAATATCTTATCTTTAATTATTAAAATAACACAATATTACTTTGTGTTATTTTAATAACACAAAGGCATAATAGGCATAATAGTGTTATTCGTGACACATATCCTTAAATGAATGTTCTTTTTTAATTTTAATTTTGTTTTTTCCAAGGACATATTAAGTTGAGGAAAGTATCAATTGAAAAAGAAATGCCAATATGAGGGTTAATCCTGGGTATAACCTAGAAAATTGAACTTGAAAAAGCACATGGAACTCACAACAGATATACTTTTAAATCATATAATCAAGATGACAGTTGAATGAAATGAGGGCAGAATGTATCATAATGGGGATAAAGGCCTGGGGATAGATACAAGGGGTAAAAATGAGTGGGAAAAGTGCTGTGGGAAGCAGCAGTGGAGGTTGTAATTAAGCAGGGGTTAATGGAGGTGGCTAATTGTCCCCCACATGTATAGGTAGGCTTTCTGCTTGGCTACATTACAATTAAAAAACCACCCTCCTAATGATAGGGAATAACAATTAACTGATAATTAGAAATATAGCAGAACGGCACACTTTCATGGTCGGTGTCTATGTTAAGAGAGATTTTATATGCCACCCCCATTCCCTTTTATTGTTAATGTTGATTCGAAGAATTAAATTAGAAGTTTTAGCTTTAATTCCTTAGTCAATTAACCTACATATTGAGAGTGGTTTTATCAAAGTCTTTTGTCTCCAGTGTCCACTCTTGAATCTGTTTGCCTGCACTGCCTTGATAGTGTTTTAATGCAGACGACCCATTGTACAGTAAATATAGACTGGCTGAGTTCCAGAGAATGGGGCCATTAGCTTAGCAGCCACAATTTCTGTGAAGGAATTAGGCATAGACACCAATTATTTCAGGCATTAGAAGAATAAAGAAATGCCGCCATTTGACGGTATTCTTGCATCAAAGCCAAATTCAAATATATGAAACTTGTAATTCATGTGTCAGACCCAGCCATCCTCACAGAGAACCGTGGAAAATTCACATCGGTCCACCTTCCGAACTGTAACAATGTCATAATGTGGGGTCTGAAACCGTAGTATACTTATATATTTTTTGAAAACAGTAGACGGGGCTGGAGTGCTTCTTGGATGTAAAAATTAAATGAGGAAAAAAGTGAGGAAAAAAGTAATCTTTTGGTGCTCTTCAGTGGAGGGACCATTGTTGATAGTTCTGACAGAAGACTGAGGCACTCAAAAGTTACAAAAATCTTTAAAAGCCTTTATTTGACATGGCAAAAAGAGGTTAAAATTACGCCTACGCGTTTCAGCCTTCTGGCCTTCTTCAGGGCATACTCGAGAGGAGTGTCTCAGTACAGATTTAAAGAGAATGGTGCTTGTCACATGGTCAGTGGGCGGGCCTACAGTCACAAGGTTTAAAATCTGGAAAAAATATTGAAACTCCCAAACAAAGTGCATAATATTATGTACACACCTATAAAGAATACATCCATCCATCCATCCATTTTCTACCCTTTAATCCATTTCTGGGTCAGGGGGGTGGCAATCAGAGATGCCACCCAAGTCTCATAGCACCAGCCCCTCACTGACCCTCTGCAGGTGGTGAGTCCACAGGAGGACGGCTGCTCTCTGAGTGTGAGCATAGCCTTGATCTTTCAGTGGGGGCTTTGGGCAAAGTGGGTTAACTTAAGTGTCTTGCCCAAGGACACAACGACAGCAGTCATCAGTGGGAGTCGGTGGAGAAGGTGCAGAGGTGGGAATTGAACCCACAATAAATAAATAAAGAATACAATATATAAGAAATATAATCAATGGTCTTTTTTGAAAAGTACTTAAAGAAAAGGAGAATAGTCCAACTCCCCATTTAAGCCTGGGAATTGAGTGGCTTTTAAAGTATATATCCAGTAGGACTCTCTTTGAAGTAATGTCTTGAGTCTATTTCCTCCTCTTATTGTCTCTGGAATATGCTCAATGCCACAGATCTTCAGGCTACTGCAACTTCCATGGTTGGAGTCTCTGTAGTGTAGAGCCATTGGATATTGTGGGTTTTTTGTCCTTATAGCTTGCTTTGTGTTCGGCCAGTCTGTTTTTCAGTTTCCGTTTTGTACGGCCTACATAGAAGCGGCCGCAGGGACACTCAAGTCTATAGACTACAAAGGTAGTATTGCAATTGATGATTGTTTTGATGGTGAAAGTTTGTCCAGATGAAACTTCCATAAAGTGATTAGTACGCTGAATATGGTCGCAGTATGTACAGTTTCCACATCTATAACAGCCACTTTGAGTGTTCAGCCATGTATTTGATTTAAGGGGTGGAAGGTAGCTGTTCACCAGTTTATTTCCAAGTGTTGGGGCTTTTCTAAAACTTACTGTTGGTGAATCTGGGAGGGCCTCTCTCAATGTACTGTCGCTTTTTAAGATGCTCCAATTCCTGTTGATTATTTGTTTTATTTTATTGGCTTCTGTGCCAAATTCAGTTACAAAGTAGACCTGGTTAGAACAGTCATTTGACTTTGTTTTCTGTATTAGCAGTTGTTCTTGATTCTGATGTTTGGCTCTGTTGTAGGCTGAATCTATGGTGCTGGGGGTGTACCCTCTGTTCTTGAATCTCCTTTTCATTTCTTCGGCATTTTCCTCAAAGTTTTGGTCTGTGTCACAGATTCTCCGTAGTCTTTGAAATTGACCAACTGGTATATTTTGTAGCAGCCATGGAGGATGGAAGCTGTCTGCTTTAAGTATAGTATTCTTATCTGAAGGTTTTCTAAAGATTGTGCTATGTAGATCCCCATAGCTGTCTTTGTATATTTTCAAATCTAGAAAATGTATTTCTGTTAGTGAATAATCTAGACTGAGTTTGATATTGATATTGCTGGTGTTCAAATAAGTATGGAATTCTAAAAGTTCTTGTTCAGATCCAGACCACAAAAGTAGAACATCATCAATATACCGACCCCACCACAATATTTTGTCTTTATATTGGTTGTCCGTTGAAAACACGTATTTCTCTTCCCAAAATCCCATATAGAGATTTGCATAATTTGGTGCAAAGCAGGCTCCCATGGCAGTGCCTTTTTGTTGTCTATACAGTTGTTGCTGAAAAAGAAATACATTGTTCTTTAATGTCCATTCTGTCAATTCTAGCAAAAGGTCAGCAGGGGGGAGTGTTTCTGGAGGTCTTGTTGAAAGGTAATGTTTCAGTGCCGATATTCCGTAAAGTAAAAGATACCAGATAAAGTCTGGTGACTGACCAAGATGAACATAAGATTTGACTAAAAACTCCAGAGGTACTTCCACCCTGAAAGATCTTTTCAACCTGTTGCTTGTCCGCGTTTATATGCAAGAAACTATCAAATACTATTTATAACCGCTATGATTTATATAATAATAATCTTTGTGAATTATAATTAACTTGACGCTTATAAATTGTATCACACTTTGAATTGTGTTAAAAACTGAAATTAAATTTGCTGCACTATGCTATTAATTAAAATAAAAAATTGGGATTATTCTGATTAATTGTTGTTAATCAGATCACTAATTAAATCTCAAAAATGTCTTTTGGGATGTCCTCCAGCTGCATCACTTCAGTTTCCTCTGAAGTGATGCAGCTTCTTCTGAAGTGAATAACGATAGTATTCAAAGACAAATAATCACAGCAAATAATTTCAAAGTATAAAGTCAAAAATTGTTTTGCCATAAAAGTAAGTTTTATAAACCATGATAACAGAAAACCATAACAAAGGCACCCATTGGGGACCAATACTGATTAACAATATTAGATTGTAACATGTTACAGTGTTACATTGTTTATCAGTATATCTCTGGATCAGCAAAAATAGGTTGTTGTGTCCAGTCTACTTCAGAAATTGACAAATATTAAACGTTCAATTTATGACATACCCCCTCATTCCTCACACATCCCAGCCACAACTATTTATAATATTGATAAATCCTTAACAACCTCAATTTTCATGCTATATCAGACCGGAGGTTTCCACTGTCTTTGGTTCTTGTTCCATGTCTTCTGCAAAGTGCTGCCCATAATGATAGTAATCACTGGAATAGGGCAGGTGTAATGGTGAATGTCAAATTTCTCTAGTCAATCAGTCATGGAGAGCACATGTCCGATGAGATGCCGGTTTCTGTAATGGCACCATGAATGTCTGAAGATGAGCCTGAACGTGACCTCTGCACTTTCACTCAGCAGCTCTTTTCTGTAACTATTTGTCATATACAACCATTTTTGTTCTCTCTCAAGCCACCATTT